TGACACTTGGGCCTTTATGTGCCGGCAAAAAACGGCAAGGTAAATGGGCTTCATTCTCCTCAGCCTGCTGTAAGCCTCTACGGCAGCGTTGAATAGAACCTCTTAGGGAAAGCTGCTATGCCTTGATAGGCTGCCTAAATCAAGAAGGACTAAGATGGTGATCTGTGCTCTCAATACACGGAAGCTTGCATCAATATCTATATCTATCGCTCACATTGAAGACCTGATGATGCAAGCCAGGAAGATCAAGTACGACGTCATCGGACTGACCGAGACGAGAAGGCACCGCCCGCTACGCCGTTTTCGATACTGGAGAAGAACTGTTCCTTGGAACATGCGACAGCAGAGGCGTTGGCGGTGTGGGTGTCCTCGTCAACACGCACTTGGCCATAAACATCGATTCGTACGAAAGCCTTACGACCCGAATCGGACGTTTGAGATTGAGAAGATGTGGTTCAACTCCTGCTTTGACAATCTTCGTCGCCTACACCAACATCAGCTACGACGAGAAGAACACTATATGGAATTGGAGAAGTTCTACAAGGAAGATCATACCTTCTTCAAGGTCATCGTCGGCGACTTCAACGCTAAGATTGGCCCAAGAAGAACGGCTGAAGAACTTCACATCGGTACTCACGGAATGGAATGGAATGAGCAGGGTGAGAGACTGTCGGAGTTTATCATGTCGGCCAACCATGGTAACTCACAGTTCCAAAGCCCTCCTTCGTTGGACTTCGGAGACCTCTATATATGATTTTTTATGAGCCTGTTTCCAAGCTTGAGGTGTAAGCAGTGAGATTCTTTTGCCTCAATTGTGGGACTATGGCAGTGTGTTATATTTTTGGCAAATTGGGTTCGGTTATCTGTAAGTTTGTACCAGGTTATGATAGCAAAGCAGAGTTGAAGACATGCAAGAACAGGATATGGTCTCCATTTCGGTGGTTATACTCCCACTCTGTCTCAAACTAAGCGTAAATGTCCTCAAAATTCTGTAAGAATAGACGGGTTTACATAAAATTGCTGAGGCTTGTGTTAGATTTGCAGTCGATTTATTGAACCAAGATAATAATTCAAATGAATGGTAAACAATTTGTGCTCGATACTTTGATCTGTACAATATGCTTGTTGGACAAGTGCCTTTGAATTTTTCGTCTGGCGAGTTCTTGTCGTCACAGTGGTGAGTGCATTTGTGGCCAAATGCGCGGGGCAGTTTTGTAGTTCCGCGAGCAGAGGTCTACTGTCACAACGATGCCGATGTTGAGGAATAGAGGGGAAATATGCTAATGACACTAAGTCAATGTTGAGATGATGGTGATTGTTAAAAAAAATGACATTCACCGTAGTAGGCACATTTTTGTGCCAGCGCCTACTCCTCGTTGTTGTTCGCCATAGTCAGTCACGGTTATGGAGATATTTGTAGGGCAAATGACTTGGAAAACAGATTGATTGATGGACGACGTTCGTAGCCACAATTCTTCGATATTATCCATAACGCTCATTAGGTCTTCACGGAGCGATAGATTAAAGATTGAACTTGATCGCAACTTCCGTGATGAAGCACCAGCAACTCACCACTCCTTAAGTCCTCTGATTAGCAGCACTATCAAACGGCATAGCAGCATCGAAATATTCCAACGCCGTAACAGCCCGCTTCGCAGCCGAGGACTAGCAAGCCCCCATCTACCTTGCTTTTCGGTCAGCCAAAATCACCTGCCCTGCCTTCTCGTGTGGTCTAGAACAGCGCATCAGAGAGGTTAAGCCACGCATCCCGAAGCCAAAGGGTTATGAGTCTCTGAAACTTTTAATATTTGCAACAGGCAAGTTCGGATTAGCGTGGACAAGCGTCCTCTCGACACCTACCAGGGAGAAAGTCTGGAGTAGAAAAAACGACGTCGATGAACTTCCGATTGCGCACCAGATCAAGGACCTCGCTCTACTTTCAGCACGCACTAAACCTTGGGATACGAGATAGGTGTTTCGCACGTTTTGACGAGCAGCCCCAGTTGCTCCAGCGCCAACGACATTGATCGCAATGAACCACTACCGCAACTGCGTCCGCGCTTTTCAAGCAGCGCCACGTGGCAACCGACAGCGGAAGGCGGGGCTTGCGGACGAAGGTGTGAGTTGCGGGTCGACGAGCTTTTGCGCCTTTGTCGCGCACTTTCAAGCGCAAAAGGGGCGCGACATCAACGCTTGTCCGCCTGCCTACTACGCTCGGATGGAACAGGTGAGCGTGCCCAATCCCGGAAGCGTGCTTTTAAATGTAAACTTTTGACTGTCGACATGCAGGATACCAACCGCACACACACAGTGCGCCACACACGCAAGCATGCATGGACATGCCTGAGTGGAGACAGCTGGTATGAATCAACAAAGCTGCAGAAAGATCTCCTAAGTTGACTCCCGCCTCAGGGCAAGGTGGCTTTTTGTCCGCCTCCTGATGTTGCGCCACGCAGCCCCGCCACTAACCGGCTAGACACCTTCCAATGAAAATCTTTTAATGAGAAAAGACCTTCAGTATGGACAGTTTTATAAGGAGATGGACCACATTATCTTCAATCGTAAGTTGTTCCAAAGTTTTTCACCGAATCGGACCATCGTCTCCTCCGCGCAAGGTTCCACTTTTCGATGCGTGTTGAGAGAGCCTCGAAGTTCAGGAAGCGAAGCCCCAGGACAGTCATCAACTGGGACCACTTCGCTTCCCTCGTCAGCTTATGGGAGGATTCCGTCATCGAAAACATCGACGAGGAGTACTATCGGCTCGTTGAACATCTTCACGATTGTGGCAAGAAGGCAGAGAGTTTGAAAGTCACCAAGGGACGTCTGTCTCCGGAAACTCGAACTGATACGCCAACGTGGAGCCGCACGAGCTGCAGGCAATCACCAACTCACGTAGGTGATGAAGATTTCAAGGAGCGAAGAGCAGCAGTATTAGCTGAAGCAGCAGAGGCTGGGAGGAGCATCCGCAATGCCCGCCGAAGCTTTGCCAGCTACAAGACCAAGATGACCTGCCTCCGACGTCCGGATGGAACAGTTACTGCATCCCGAAGGGCAATGGAGAAAGTCATCCACGACTTCTACTCGGATCTCTTCGATAGCCATGTCCATCTGCCCTACTTATCAATTGCAACAGCATGGAGTCGTCGTTCCAACATGCCATCGGTGAAGAATCGTACAGCACTTGCACTTGACAGTGGTAAACGGGAACATCTGAAGGATGTGCCGCTAGGTACCATCAAAACTATCTCCCGAGACTTTACGCACTACGCACGCACAGATCAGGGATGTTGCCCTTTTCTCCAAGGAAGTCCAAGATAAGGTGGGCCGGACACGTCATGCGATTTTGATGACCGTTGGACCAGAGCGGTTACCGACTGGATCCCTCGGGACGTCAAACGAACACCTGGACGACCGCCGGCCCGATGGTCAGACTTCTTCACGAAAGCTCTGAACGAAAGGAATGAAGGACTTCGTGTCCCTCGAGCGAGGATCCACTGGACCACTCTTGCACGCGACAGGATGGAAGATGGTCAACGGGACTTCATATGCCATAGATGATATGTGTATAAAATTCTGAGAAGCGATGCTCACATCTATAAAAAGTATTTGAGCTGTCAGAAAAGTCCAACATACTTGTGCTGAAGATGGTGTCATAGTAACTGGCATCGAACCGCTGTTTTTTAAGGAATATAGTCGCATTCTACGGCATGGTCATCGATAACGACAGCGCTATGATAGTGATGGAAATGGTGCCAGGAGGTGGACTCGATCACTTTCTCAAGAACAACAATGTGAGTTTTGCTGTACATTTGCTCCTAGACAAGCATCACAGAATTGAAGTCCGTTCTACATTATTCTACCAATTTACCTTCAGTCACCTTTCCCCCCCCCCCCCACCTCCCGCAGCGGGCAAGACCTCGCTTTCACTGCGTACGCTTCACGCTTCTGCCATGCTGGCTTCCACTTGTGAAGCCACTACGTCATAGAGAATTGGTTTGCATAAAAGAACGTGTACTAATGAACTAATGAGCGCACTTACATGTATGGGCAGCATCCATCTAAATTTCCCTCAAGGCCGACTGGACCTTACCCCCTTAACTTCTTACGGTCGTCCTTCTTCCCATTCCGCCCCACTAACGTTCCCTTTGCCTTCCCCCCCCCCCGTTGCGGCTGCAACACCATGTAAAATGATAAACATATGAAATGCTCATTGAGTTTCTGAATCATGGACATTGGAGAGGCTTTTTGCTGCTGTTGAAGAGCAAAGAACTTTTTTCAAGTTATGCTAGTAGTTTCTTCTGTTTTTTCTTTGCTTTAGTTTCAATTCACACTTTTCTGTCACCTTCGGAAGCTACAGCACCTTAGCTAGATCCCGACTCTTGTCTTCAGAAAAAAAGCTTCACGTCCTGAATGAAATTTCTGTCAGAGCTGATCCTCGGTCCACACAACGTTGACATCAGCGTGGATTTCGGTCGGGGATTCGTCGAGCATTTCTCTTCATCTCTCCCGCCACCACATCACTTTCGCTCACGCGCGCAGCGCAATGTGCTCTCACGCGCGTAACATTAACCATCCATCGACACTTTCTCGTCAATAAACAGACAACTTCAAGATTCCTCAACATCTTTTCACCCTGCTGGACAATCTACTTCCTTTGTGCTCTGCTAAAAAAACACAGCAATGCCCTCAGGTCATTGGGACTATAGTACACGAGATATATAAGGAAATCGATATTACTTATTCTCTCAACGCCTTTCAAAGCGCTGGCAAATGTGGATTGAGGAGTGCCTTCTCATGGTTAATGGAGGCAAGGTAGCAAGATCGGTGCTTTTCATCGATGAGGTGATACCACCAATCGGATGGAACTTGTTTATTTATTTACTTTATTCTGATAACACAGTGAGGCTGCGTGGTAATGAACAACACTAACAATACAAAAATCAAAACCACTTCGCCGAAGAAAGCACACGAATTGCAAAAAGAACATTTGAAGATATAAAAACAACTGAAGATATAAAAACAAATATAATGGGAACATTCAAAGTAAAATTAGCCTAAACGATCAATCGCATGAGGATCGTATAAGATTTGTATCAAGAAACCTCTGCATTGGCCGACTTAACAGCTCTACTTCGGAAGGACCCGAGTGAGGAGCACAACGTATCCTCATCAAAAATTTTATTCAAGAGTGGCAGCACTCTAACAGCGAAAAACTTTGCTCTGACCTGTGTTCTAACCACAGAGGACCTTATTTTGATAGCGCTACCCCTTGTTCTAGATCTAGCTAATGTGAAAAAATCCAGCACAATAATCTAAACCGCTGCAGGTCAGCTGTCCTGATCGTTGTTCTTATGCTTTTGATGTATCACTCGGTTTATACTACCTTCACAATAAGCGGTGCATGCATCGGTAAGTATCCCAGCAAATCTTTATATACGCTGCCAACGCCTGTAAGCGACACACTCGCTGCTTTTCTTATAATTCGATTTTGCCCAAAAATGATTTCGCTGCGTATTACCAAGTACACCTACCTACTAACTGCTAAACATATGCTGGATTTCAGAGATATAGCGTGCAGAAATTGTTTAATTGATGATCAGCGAAATATTGTAAAAATATCTGATTTTGGTTTATCGAAACAAGCAGACAGGTACAAAATACAAGGCTTTGAAAGGATACCTGTGAAATGGTATGAAATGCTCCATTCCTTTTCATTTTCTCAGAGCTGTCCTCAAGCATAAACGTCAAAAGCTCGAATCGTTAGTACAGAACTTTTCTTCCAATCTACACATTATCGAACTGACTCTGCAGTTCTGCACTGGCAGGAAGAGTGGATATCGCCTAATAAGCGCGGTTGTTCAGGATGTAGAGCACTTTTTCTAAACAGCTAATCGCACGTAGGATTATGAGGGAACATCACACATGAGGTCCACTTTGGCATAATGGCCCCTGAAGGTCAAAAAGCGGTGAGGAAATGGTGATTACAAATTTTTCCCATTGTTCGTGGGACACTGCGGATTTCCCCAAATAGCGCCAGTGCGAAGAATACATCTCTTGTTCATCATCATCACCAATAACTCTTACATGTGATTTTTTGACGGAAACTGGCGCAGAAAATTTGCTGTGCCATAACGGTACCGGACGACGATGAAGTGGCATCAAATGGAGCCACTGGAAGACATGATATTGTATTAGGTTGTCCCATAATTAGTGAATCACTTTGGGTATTTTTGAATTCAATTTTTTTTTTATGTGGAGTCTTTGCTCATCCAAACATACCTCTGTCATCTACAATGTATTGCCTATACAAGGAAATTTAGTCGCTGTCTTATCTCTAGAATTCCAGGAGCTATTGATCGAAGAAAGATCGGAAGTCGAGTTTGAGGTCATGTCACTTAGCGTAAAATTTCTTCCTGGGGAAGAGCGCTAGAGGTCAGACTGAGTTGTCTTTTGTTGGCACGAGGATAGGGCCACACAGCGGAGGTGGAAGAACTGTAGCAAGCAGACTTTGTCTTGCTTTACTTTCAAATTGAACGCGTCGCCATTACGCTGTCGATGTTGATCTTCTTCAGTGACCCTAGTATTACTGGGCGGCGGTTCCCAGCGCAAGGTCACTCTCGTGCTCCACCAATATCTCGGAAGGGTCGGACTAGAAGGAGGTTTGGCTTTTGCTGTCAGAACTCCCGAATCGTTCATGCTAGGCTACTGCTTTTTGGAGATTTGCTGGTACAACCCACCAAGTATTAATCTTTCATCTTGCGGACAGAAAATACGATCTATAGAAGAATCTTGGAATCGACCTCACTGCATTCTCAGCTGAAACCTTTGGCAATCTAGGAACACTGCATAGGCTCATCAGTGAATAGTTGACAAAACGCCGTTAATTGTGACTATGGTTATTGCTTTTTGGAGATAATGTTAACTCAAAGGTGTAAAAATAGCGCAAACTTTGGTGACACCCTACTACTAGGAACAAATCATGGACATTTTTTAACACGTTGACGACCGCGCTATTTTTCGCTGTCTGGCGTGTGGGACCGCGCGCATTATTTTGACCGCGCGAGTGTGACATGACATCATGTCACACGGTCCCACGAGAACTCCTTTTTCTCAGGAAGTGTGTATTTGTTATCTTTCTTGTGTGGTAGGTCTCCGATTATGCGATTTTGGCCATTTTAGCGATTCCTGTGATTTGATCATTATTCAACATTTTTAGAAAAACTCGATAGCCCATCAACCGAAGCTTCTTTCCAGAACCACGCCTTTTGTACATGCCTAGTATGGCGCATACATCACGTAAATAAGTTACCTAAAATGTTTTAAAACCAGCTTTAAAAAGACTGTGACATGACATCATGTCGCACGGTCCCACGTGGCCGAAAGAGTGTGGTATGACATCGTACCACACGGTCGTCAACGTGTAGAGCTTTAGCTTTTCCCTGGAACTTGAAGTTAACCGATACACTCAATACACAGTTCAACCAGGCAAGCTCCTGAAGTGGTGAACACATTAGTCTATACAAAAGAATGTGATGTCTACTCCTATGGTATTCTTGTCTGGGAGATATTCAACAATGCAAAACAACCCTTCGAAGAATTCTCCAACAAAACCGTTCGGCGTCGGGTCTGTCACTAGCATTGACCTTTTCGACAGATACATTTTATTTCATGTGAGTTTTGCAGTGATAGAAGAAACGTCTGTCCACCACGTATCTTTGGAATGCGGAAGAATATTGCGAATAATTGTTGGCTGCTTGCTGGAGCGCAACCGGACGCCGACCGTATGAAGGGTGGAATGTTTAAGAATTTATCATGTATTGTGAGTATTTACTCAGAGATATAGTTAATTCCAAATTTTCCCAACCACAGACTTTTCCCCGCGGTTGGAACTCAGCGCTTGCTGTGCTCGATTGCTACAGTGGTAGGAGATTAGTGGCGCCTTGAACAGTCAAACAAATGTCCACACAGAGATTGGAAGTATTGGGCTGACCTTTATTACTGACTCCATAATTTCTGGCCGAATTCTCAACACTTTGATTTCCTTCAAGTTTTTCTTTTCTGAAAATCAATTGATCAAAAATATAACCACCATCATAATCACTGATATGCATCCATTTGCTAGGGAACGAATGGATGCATTCCTCCCAGAACGAGTGAAGCTGTGAGATGAAGAGTTCGGAGAGGTCGTTTTTGGGTGGCTGTATTCACCGAGCTTTTTCGTAGCTTCAGTGCGCTGGGAGGAGACAGTACGATGGAGCAATGTCAGTGCTATACGTCAGATGTGGTATCGTGGTCCAGCCAGTTCCCTCAAAACATGGCGAGCTATCCTTGCAATGTGAGGCCGGGCTTTCATTTGGAGGAAGGAGATTTTGAGACGTTTCGAACCGTTCTCCCGCACTGCTGCGGCCAACTTGGGGAGTTATTCCATGGTTACCTTCGCAATGCTTGTCTGCATAAGTGAAGCGGTTCTCAAAACGGGATACCCAGCGAATCCAACAACCAGGGGTAATATCTCTGATGAAAGAGCTCGGGCTTTGGTTGAGATGGTGGATCCAGGCTGCGAGGTAGCCACCAGGCGTGCCTCGTGTTGTTATCGTGGTGGACTCTTGACTCATCTGCACTGGTGATCAACTAGGGAATATCCTGTCTATACGGTCGCAGGATGAAATTTCTGCACGTCGTCACGTGCGCTTCTCGGTCTTGGTCAATTGATGCATGCTGTTTCAATTGAGAGTTCTTTCTGCTACACCCATTTCATTCAGGTGGCCAGGCTTCAAAACAAAAGCAAGCAGAATGCTCTAGCTCTTTTACTTTATTTCTCTAGATGTTTCTACATGTTTGAATGAGATGACTTAAAGGAAGCGATTACGATAAGGAATTTTCGCATCGGGGGAGAACCTGCGCCACACGGAGCAATTACTTGGCTGCCAAGGAAGCGATGTGTGGTCCTCCCACGGCGAAAGGTGCTGTGGTTGCTGAGCAGGACCCGCGTGACGCTCCGCCCCCAGTGACGTGACGCCCACTAGTTTTGTTGATGATCTGGATGGACTGTTTGCTGTTGGCTTTTCATTTTGGATGATCATTTCCCTTCTAGCGGCTGTATCTTCCAACTTGCCCACGTATTGCCTTATCAATCAAAACACTATGCTTGTTGGCATGATGGCGGCTATCGGGGTTAACACGTCCGAACAACGTCGTTCTTTACCGTCGCTCATCCATGGTCGAAAATGAAAGGGCAATCAAAGGGGTACTATTTTGCTTATTTTTGACGGATTTCTTTGCTTTTTTCGCCATTGGCGTACTATTGAGACCCCCACGTCCCCTCTAACCCCTTTGAGATCTATCGTAATCGCTTCCTTAAAAACGGTCACAGAGGTCAGCCACGTCAAGGTACCGTAGCCTAACACCCATTATACTCATGCAAAGCCGGACTGACCAGATGACCTTCCCATGGCAGGACACATTCTCGGCAGTTCTCCGTTCTTTGTACACTTTCTTTGTTTGTGAAATCTTCAACAGTTGCTATTATTTTCAATCTTCAGTGTTCCCGGAGAAGCACAGGGTCGAGCGCCGCCACAGCCGGTTCGTAAAAGTTTTACCGATGGAAGTAGACGCGGCTCGTCAAGAGATAGAGATAGGTCAACCAGAACAGCAAGGGTATGCTTTAGTGTACATAGGAATGACTTTACTATGTTTAGAAGACGTTCATCATTTCTTTGCTGCTAAAAAAGCACACTGTAAAACCCAAAATTAGGTAAGGCATCGATTGGAGCAGGGTTAGTGAATTCTATGTACATACAATTGGCGAGTTTCAGTATAACTAACTAAGAGAGAAAACAATTCTGGGTCCATAGGCTGTAAAGCCTTCCAACATTTCGCCGAGCTGGCGAACCAGCCAGAAGACGCCTGCGCCATTTTGCTTGAAGCAGAGAAAAGTATAGCGGGGGAATGTGGACAAGAAATAACGGCACTATTCAACTATACAACCGCAAAATCTCGAAATTTTATTTTTTGTCAAAAATTTGCACATATGGGCAATTCAATGCCCTATGTGGCATGACTATTCATTTTCAACGGGGCGCCATCTGGCGCCAGGTGGACGTCACCTTGTCACGACAGTTGTTTTCACCAAACTCGATGTAAACTTCTGGGTAGGGGTAATTTGGTGTCCAGATTACGAATATGACATTCATTCTTGGCGCTAGCTCCATTTAGCGCTTTAATCTCTTCGTCTGCGCCCTCCTAGTGACTAGATCGCGATCAGGACTAAATGCGTAAAGTTACGCGAAGCAAGGGGTACAGTTAGTGACCTCATCATTCTGTGATCTTACAGGTTCCATCTTGTCTCACGATGCCTGATTTACCCATTCCGGGTCTCCGTATCCCCTAAATTACAATTGTAGTCCGAGCGCTATGTGTAGGTGAGAGAGCCCAGAAAACAGGAAGTATACGGTAAACAGTGCTAATGTCAGAAACGAATGTCATATTCGTGATCAGGACATCAAATAACCCCTATACAGAACTTGAAAAAACCTTTTGCATCAGAGCACCAATTTGCGGAAACTGACTACACTTATGTCAGGCATTGTTCATAGTTTTGGAACCATCGGAATATTCGAATCTGCGAAAAGAAAAAGATACGTATCGACCAGGTGAATCCGCGCACGCGCGAACGCGGATGCGAAAAGGTTTAGATACGTATCGACGTAGTAAACCACGCCCTATTAGCGTTGCTAGAGGATTTTCGCACCGCCGTTTCGATGCTGCGATCTCCGATTGACTGATCGATAGACACTAATTCCTTTCAAGAGATTCGCAGATTCCAATGCGCGATTCGAAGCCCCTCCCATTTTGTGGATCGATACGCACTTCATTCATTTCGCATTTGCGCAGATTCGTTCGGTTCGAGCGTCCTCCTCTCGTGGCGCAAACTATGAACAATGCCTATCCACCACAATCCAATACATCCAATGCCTACAATCGTATGGAGAGCGCGGGTACACCTGAAAGAGCTCCCCTTGTAAGTCCAATGATCGCGGAAAAATGCCTTTAAAAAGCTAATGAGTTGAGGTGGCTTTGTTTGTAAGTCACCTCACCGTGCGCCATGGCACATCGGTCAATTTCCGAGGAAGAACAAGGAATGTAACGACCCGAATAAGGGAGCCAGCCGTCTGGAGTCCCGAAGCTACGCTCCTGAATCTGGATACGGGCGAAAAAGGATCTTGAGTAGCAAATGGCTAACTGCAGCAGGTAGTGAAATAGCAAAAATTGTTCCCGTAAGCTGCCACAACACACTTGGACGAACCGAAATTGCTTCCATGAGTTCTTTTTGGGACTGAGAAGGTTTAAGTACGAGCATAGAGATAACAATTTGAATTCTGCGAAACAGTTCTGATCCTATGAAGTTCTGTCATAGAAAACTAACCTTTTCCAAAAGGATGGCATACACCAATGAATATTTCACAAACCCAGAAAAGACTACACAAGTTTTAGGAAATTTCAGTGACGCAGCTAACAGGTATTGTTACCAGTATCCTTTACCACTTTACGAGTCTCCAACACTCAACATGTATTATGGATGCAGACCTCTGATTTTGAAGTTTTTTTTTCAGAGCAAAATGGACTCACGTCGACTCAGAGCGGATGCTAGAAAGGTCTGTTGTATGATATCAATATGAAAGTTCACCTTTAGTTCCTAAGCAAAGTATCACATGTTAGGTTGTCCTGAAAGTCTTTGCCCATTTTCATGTGTATGTTGTGATATCTCCAGGATAATTTCTTGAACATGCTTGTAAAAACCTAATGTAACCCCATTTCGCATGGATCTCATGAGCGAGCGTCTCTGCCCGCCGTCCATAGGCTATTTCGCAGTGATTATAGCTGAAAAAATCGACTTTGACTGAAAACATATTTGGCTACCTCTTGATTTTGAAACCCAGAAAACGCGTCAATGGAAGCGGTGCGGCAAGAGCCTTACGTCTTGCGATGGGAGCTTCAGAGTGCCTTTCACGACATGGCAAACATTTGGTTGCGATGTCCGCGCCAGAACTTCAGACTCAGGAAATTAAGCCCAAATGTGGTCGGACCTTGTGACTGTGGAAAACAGGTGCCGAGTGTGATTCTAGAGTCTCGTCTCGACAGAAACAGGTCTCTTGGTTTCAATGCCACCATAATGCACACTGCTCTCACTAGCGAGCTCATCATCACACGCAATAGCCATCTCAATAGCTCCTCAAATGGAAAAAATTATGGGAAAAGGCGTAAGATTCTTGATTTCTGCTTTCGAACAATTGTGAACCGCCATCAGAGCCCTTCAGTGTGTGTCTTGTGTACTCTTTTGATTTACGTGCCTGTATCTGTTTGACGCGGATCCTACTTTGATTTGACAAGTCCGGTAGAAGGAGTAGGTTCTCCTCATTGTAAACCTCGCGAACGCCACTCAAGGATCAGCACGATTTAGAACCAGCAGATTATTTGTGTCCACTTCAGACATTGCCAAACACTTTGAGATGCAAACTTTGCGTGCTTGAAGCGTAAAGCTGGCATGCGTTCATGCGCATTTGTCGCTGCTCCTACACGAATACATCAATGCTGTTGATGTTCAATAATGTGTGGCCAAGTGCGGAATTGGGGGATTCTTTAGCACTATGCGTAGAAAACATTACACAAATCAACTTCATCCAAGAGCTAGCGATCTTCACAGAATATATCGAAGAAGGTCACACAAGTTCCAGTTCTACATGGGCATGTTCTGGTCCCACGGTCCATTTGTGTTTAGCAGGTCCGGCCCCAACAGAATAGCGCCAGCTTCTATTGCTGATGATTCAACTAAAAGAGGGAGAGCTTTGTGTTCCGGAGTACTCGAAAACGGACTTCCTCTAGTTTTTTGCCTCGGAAGCTCAGGACAGAAATATACTACATCGCACGACATTCTACAGCAACTGCTGAAAGGCAATATGTTCTGGAGCGATTACGTATGGGGTCTGAAATCGTGACTGATAAAATGACTCGACTGGAGCTAAAGCAAGACTCGCGATCTTCGAAGAAAAAAAATTGACAAATGGGCAAAGACTTTCAGGACAACCTAATACAAGAAACATAATGCCGAATTCAGAACAGCGTTAAGTATGGTGTTTCTACAGGGAACATAAAGGTGCACAAGAAAGGCAGTAAAGCAAGTAGAGCGAACTGCGCACGTTGGTCCATGATAGAGCTTTGCGCCGCGAAGCGCACACATTAATTGAGAAAACGCTGAGACGTAATACTCTCTTACACTCAAACCGACACCGGCATGGAAATGAAGTTTGCCGCTTAACACAATGGAATGAGGGCTGCCAGACAATCGCAATCCAGCGTTTTCTCTTTATATTCTTGGACGAGTCTGGCAACAATTGACCGACCCTAGATGAGTGAAAGGTTGTTTGACTGAGTGGATTCCAGCCCAGGTTTCAAATCTGGACCGTTGCGAGAAATGGCGCCACTCACCGTTACACCACTTCCGCCCACCAGAGGATTCAGCATTACTTAATCCCTGGGAGTGTCCAATCCTAGTTCCTTTCAAATTGCAAATCCATGATTTGCGAACTGGCCTTCAGAACAACTTGCGGAGGTCAGCCTTTTAGTATGTATGTTTCTATCTTTCCGAATGAGTGCAAAACCAAGTACGTTATCCCGCAAGAATGGACAGATTAGTTGGCCAGGGTGAAATTCAACCCAAGGCTTTACCTTCAGATCTTGCGCATGGTAAATAACTTGGTGCTGCAGATTTAAGAGCAAAATGAGAGAGAAAGACAGTCAAAACGCATTAGAAAAGAAAAATTGCGGAGCTTGAAAAACGAAGGTGCTAGATCAAAAGGACTTCCTAATAGAACTGAGTGCGCCATGGAGATGCAACCAACAAGATTATATGACAAAACTGCTCACAGATACCACAAATAAACACGATTTCACCGGTTTCCTGTTCTTATTCCATCTGTTTGCAGTATCGGGCACGCTCACCACGACGGAGATCAGAAATGGGTCTTTAAAGATAACTCGCCGATTTATGATATGATAGAAATGGGAAAGTTTGCTATCAAAATGCGACTCAATGTTATACAATGTTTTTGCACAAATTATTACAATCCCTTCTACTAATGTATGTACTAGATCATTAAAAAGTTGTGCTCTTAATTTCGGCTGTAATTTCACTGAACGACAATCGTTCATTTGGATTCTACAGTGAATTTAAGCTTTTTTGGACGTTTATGCACCAAATGCCCATACTGTGTAAGCGACCTGGCATCCTAGGATCTAAGCCATCAAATAGCTGTACTTGGATTGTGAAAAATAAATATCTAATACCCATGTTTGTCGACTGAAAGTCTATCTAGCACGAAACTTGCTTTTACCTGGTTTGCCTGGGCCAGTGGAGATCAGGTAGGTGTGATGTGTTAAGCACACTAAAAACGAGCAGACCAAAGGAGACTCATCCTCAGTAGGCAGAGAGGGGGAGTCACTTCAGACAAGAAACTAATTCGCTTTGGGACACTTCATGGACTTGAGAAAATTCAGCGATGAGAAGAACACCACCCAAAGTGAGCTGAGTATGGGTAGGCAAGAATCATGATTGAATTGATGTAATTATCCCACTCAAACATGAAAGTATGGATGTGAACGAGACTACAAGTGGAGAGCAAAAGAAGGAAAATCGCCGAAAACAGAAAATACTAGCCTTCTGCCTTACGCTGCGAGAAGTCTAGGAGGTAGGCTGGGAGATGAGAGTCGCGGAGAGGGCAAGAGAAGTCCGATTAGAGAGCGCATAGCAGATAACTTAGCGACGCAGATGGGATATCAAACGGTGGGTGGGTCCTGATAGTTTTGGTGGCAGTTAGTCGAAGTCCTTAGCGCTTAGCGCCTTGATGACGCGTTTCGATGTATAAACTGGCGCTACCCCTCGCGGTCCACAGGAGTATCA